TTGGCAGGCTTGTCCCTGGGCCGGCGCGGCACCCGCCGGGAGCCTGGGCCCGGGCCCGCACAGCGTGCTGCGGGAACCCGGGCTGCCCCTGGGCCCGCGCCGCATCCCACCCCGCTGGTTTGTGGATCTGCCCCTGGGCCAGCGCCGCGTCCCGCTGGTTTGCAGGGCCCGCGTTGTCCCCGAGCCAACGTGTTGTCCCGCTAGGTTGCAGGTTGTTCGTCAGCCAGTGCAGCGTCCCGCTGGTTTGCGGGGCCGCAGGTTGTCCCTGGGCCGACACGGCGTCCCGCAGGTTGCTCCCGATCCCTTCGTTCTGAGCCGCCCCTTCCCCCGCTTGTTGCCTGTGGCAGACCATGCAGCTACCAGGTGAGTAAGGAAGGAAGATTTAATGCAACCAGCGTGCGATTCGTGGAGTGCCAGCAGAACGGGGGGTATTTCGGAGGTCCCCACCACACCGCGGAGCTCTGGGCATGCCTTGTTTCTGTCGCTACCACCTTTGCCCGCGGTAATAATTAATAACAGCAAGAACAAGCTGCATCTACCTCATTTCTGCTGTTAATAATATACAGCCGACACTTGCCCAGAGTTGGAGTTTCCCTAACTTACTGGCACGGCGTAGATAACTTACCGGTATGGCCTAGATAATGCCTCTTGTAAATGAACTTAATCTCGTGGTTGCCACGATAAGTGTGGTAGGAGCTTGCTCAACATGGTTAGGAAGCCATACTATGGATTTTAGTTTGGGCTGGGGCTGAGGCTGCCCCTGCGCGTGTGTGACGATGATACCTTTGTCATGGCCTATGCTGGGGCATTGCCTAGAGCTCCCCGTCAGGGCCACACTGCCCTTGGTAGTGGACACGCGCACATTAAAATGGTGGTGCCCACCTCAAAATCCCTGATCGGCTTTACCTGGAGCAAGCTGAGATTGAGACTTACCGTTTTTCCCGGTGAGGGTGTCCCAGCCTTGGTGGTGAACAGGCTTGCTTGGTTTCCAGAGATCTGAGAGCACTGCCTCGAACAGCCGCCGGCGACCGGAGCTGCAGAACAGACGCTGGAGTGGACGGAGAATCAAACCTGGGTGGAGGAGCTGGAAGAAGGAAGCAGCAATTAGGGGTAGTGATTAGAAGTTGGGGGGAGTCAGCTCTCACAACCTGGTAACAGGAGCGACGGACAGCAGGCGTGGGCCCCCAGGGGCCCCCAGGCACAGTTGAGGCCCCCTCGGGTACAGGTGAATGGCCCGACTCAGCTGTGTGTCTCGGCCAGCAACCAAGAAGCAGGCCTCTGCGATTCAGAGGAGAAACTCAAGCCTCATCAGCTTCCTTAGCGGAAGGCCCCCTCGCGACCCGAGCCCTCTGCAGCAATGAATGACACGCGCTTGCACAACTTGTCCACCTCGTACTGACGCAGGACGTGGCCAGTAACCTGGAGGAGGGCGAGAAGACTGTGAAGTGGGCCTGGAGAGCTTGTGCAAATCGAGCATGGGCCAAAGCGCCTCAGCTTCTGCCACTGCAGTGGTCCAGGCTCCCCAGGAGGAGGGCGAAAGCAGGCAGAGTTTTCGCCACCCAGCAAGAAGCTTTGCCCCAGCAGCGACTCCAAAGTTACAAGGGTGCAACGGAGAGGTGTAAGGAACGGAGAGGTTAAAGCACAGGGCAGATGGGGGGAAGAGGTCCTGGCCAGCAACCAAGAAGAAGGCCTCCGCAATTCAGAGGAGAAACCTAAGCTGCAGCTTCCGTAGTGGAAGGCCCCCTGCGACCCGAGCCCTTGCCGCTGCAGTGGTCATAGCTCCCGAGCACAGCTCGCTTCGTGGCCGGCAACGATTCCCCAGTTAGAAGGGAAGAAAGCCTCCACCGTTCAGGTATTACACAAAGGGGAAGCCTCAGCAGTGCTTGTGGCCAGCAACCAGGAGGAGGAAGTAATACAAGTTCAGGAACCAGGAGGTGAGCATTTCCGTCACCTGCTCGGGGAAGGAGGCAGGGAGGGTGGGTGCATAATCACCTGCCTTACGCTCCGTATCTGCTTTCTCGTCGTAAGGAATCGAACTGTAATTATAAGTCTCTATATAATAGTATATATAACATAGGTCTATATCATACAGTGGCTACATAGATATGGTGGAGGCCCAGGATGTGTGTGATGTGTGCCGGGTGATAAGGCAGATCTACTTGCTTTGAAATGCTGTGATAAGGAATTGAACCGTTACAATCATTATTATTGTACACTAAATCATCATTAATATTACTATTTCTATAAACTCTTATTAATATATTACTATTGGACTTGATAGCTGCCTCCTATTATTAGTATTACCTGTTATTATATTATAAGCCTATATCAGGCAGGATGAAAGTCAGCTCTGATGATTATGCATACTAGTTCAGCTGTTGAGAGAATGAATCCTGAAGGAAGTGTTGTCATTCTCTTCATTTTCTCTTTCTTTCTTCCCTTCTCTTTCTGCCTCTTGTCACATCGACAGGGAGCGATCAGCCTGCGGCTGGCAGTGGAAGGGGATCTGAAAACCGGAGGGAGGGAGGATTAAAAGAGCATAGGAATTTGTCCTGGTGCCTCCTGTGCACCGCACGTACCGTCCTGCACGCCCCTACGTTCCAGCAGCCCCGTTTGCAATACATTTGAACTACACAGTGCCCCGCACCCCCGACCAGAGCTGACCCTAGCAGGGTGCAGGGCAGTGGGTACCGACAGTGGCGGGCAGCGTGGCCGCCCCGGCACGGATGCAAAGGGAGCGCCACCACTCGGCGCCGCTCGCCCTGCCTTGACCCTCTACCGTTGAAACCGCTGCAGAAGGGGTCTTGTCCGGGGCGGGCGCATGCAGGAGCAAAGGCAGTGGCACCCCAGGCTTGCCCCCCAGGCCCCCACATTACACCACTGGTGCAGGGCCTTGGGCAAATTACCGTCCCCCCCATGTGCCGCCACAGCAGTGGCAGGGGAGGGGAGTGGGTGAGCGTCCGGATGCGAGGCCGGTAGTGGCGCTGAGGAGTTGCCCCGTCTGCTCTGCCCGTCTCTACGGGGCCCCCAAAGCACTGGGCCCGGGGCGGTCACTTGTATTCGTGCCCCACTAGGGACGACCCTCAGGGCACAGACAAGTGCCAGGTGTCCCTTACCAAAGGTGGCATGTAATAGCACATCGCTGCGTCCTCTTTCAAGTCGCACGTCGCAGAGGTGCAGGCATCAAATATCACTCAAAGCTTCACTGCACCCCACTTGATCAGCCTGCAGTCTTCTCAAAGCCTGGATTCGCATTGCTGTGCCCCCCCCCCCCCCAAACCTCCCTCGTCGATGCAGCGAACCCACACCCCGACCTCTGCTCCCCAAATTTATAGTGCTTGAGCGGGGAACCTCTCCCCCCCAGGCAGCCTCGTTTTGGTGTGGAAAAAAACCAGACAGTCTGGAGCACAAAAAGAAGCTGGAAAGGTTTGCAAAGTCCCTAGTTTGTGTGCAAGCAAAGTGGGTTTTAAACCCCACACCGCTCCCCCACCCACGGCCTCGCTTTGGTTTTCCAGAAGGAAGGAGAAGGCGCCTGGCGGGAAAGGAGCGCGAAAAGAATCCTGCTAAAGCGCATTTTCAAAGCTTCCGTCTAGGGAAAATGCAAGGAAGGGTTGTGAAGGGTGAGCCAAAGAGCCTGAAGGCATGAGCCCCCGCCTTTGCAAAGTGGCTGGTGGCTTGCAAAAAAGTAATTCAGTAATCCGCTGCTGCGGGGTGACACACCAGCCAGGCTTTGCAAAATGCCAGCGCTTGTGCGTTGTGACCCAGCCAGGCAGCCCCCCTGTTTACCTGTGGAGCCCCCCGTGTACCCGTGCAAGAGAGATTGCCAACCCCTGCCCCCGGCCCCACGCAGGAAGTGGCAGGACAAACGAACAGAGGGAAATGAACCCGAACAATGAATAAAATCCACCTTCGCAACCAAGCAGGGTAAGGGTGGATGTGGAGGAAGACACGGGAAGCCAGGAAACCATGAGGTTTTATTATTTGCAACCCAGTATTGCAGCAGTTACTTGGGCTTCTTTGCCGTCACCCCCCGTGACTCTGAAATGCAGCGGCACCCTCCTGGCCCTGCTGGCAGGCGTAGGGCCCCGCGGTGACCCCGCTGAGTTAGGGGGACAGGCTCCGCTGTAATTCTCCGCTTGTCTTGCAGAGAGGCAAGGTGAACGTACTGACTTCCCTTTCGGGCGTCATACCCGTTTATTGAAGTCGTTCTGCACGCTCTGAAAGGCATCCTTGCAAGGGTCGTGTGACCTCTGATTCAGCACGGGACTCCTCGACCACGTCTTTCAAATCCCGCATGGTGTCTCACGCTCGCTCGAGGATGGCATCCTCCTTACGCAGTGACTCACGGAGCAAGCCGCGTTTTCAAAAACGTTCCAGAAACATCTATAAAACAATTCACAACACACCGCCAAAAGCCGCATGTGGCATTACACAGATTGATGGTGCACCTGGGCAGGGAATGGGAGGGTTGAAATGGGAACCCCACCTTGGAAACTGTATGAAGATCCATAGGGCTGGGCATGCTGGGAAATGTAGTCCAAAATAAAACAACCAGGAAAAAAAAAAGCCAGAGCTCGCCACCACCATCATCATCATCGACAGCAATTGCCAATCGACCGGACGGCAACAAACGCCCGCCCGCCCGCCCGCTATGCTTATGATATAGCAGTTATCACAGCAGCTATAGTTAATGAAAGAAAAAAACCAACCATATACTTGTACCACGGTGGGATGGGAAGGGAAAGGAACGGGCGGGGAGGATTCACACGGCTTGTCTTTGGGATCGCGTACTGATGGAGAGAGACTGGACCGACCGAGCATAGGCGGGTGCAAGGGCCAAGGATTTGGGGGTGACCATGCCCAGGGGAGACTCCCAGTGAGAGTCCGGGGGTGGTGGTTCACATGCGTTAGGAAAGACGTTGCAGGGGGTAAGTTGGTATTTGACTCCCTCAACTGAAATCTGGGGGGAATGACACACGGGGGCTTAACTCGCTTGAAAGCGCCGTTCGTGCAAACAAAAATGTGCCGCACCAAAAAAAAGTCGCGTTAACATTTTCAGGTGGTCTGTATTAATGCCCGTGTCATCCACACACGCTCAAAGCTACCTGAGAACAGCGGAGGCTCTCACCTTCATGCACGTATGAGAGATCAATAAAAGTCTGCTTTCGTGGCGTGGGCGATGCAGAAGGTTATAAATGGAGACGGCAGAGACTTGGCTGGCTGGATGTTTTCAGATAAAGAGTCCAGTCTCGACGGAGGCAACTAGAACGGAGCAAATTTATCACAGCTGACAGTTTATTTGAGGAATTTCTCCTCCTCTCCTGCCTCCAAACAGACGTGGCTTCTTCCTTTTGTTACTGTGGCTTCATGCCAACCTGTGTCAGCCCACAGGTGGGTATGCCCGCGGCGTCCAATACCCGCCGAACACCTTGTGGGACTGGTCAGCTAAAGAGAAGGCAGGGTAGAGATGCACCTTATGGACTAAGTCAGCTGCATAGACTGCCCTGAGAAGAGCTCGGGGGCCATTTCAATCCGGTAGTGCTACTTCTGCTCTCCAGGTGGCTCACGGTGAAACCCGTGGTGCTTTGAGCCACCGGGCACGTCTGACACGAGCATGCCTGCCGACGCACGATCGCACTAGTGCTTGTGACCCTTTCTCTCTCTCTGAACTTTGTCATGAATGAATCTCTCGTGTCAATATTTGCAGAAGCCGGAAGGATCACAACTGCTGCTGATGCCGATTCATTGATTTCCTTCAAACAAATGATCCCCCTTCCATGCCTGTGCAGACGTCAGCCGTCTCCCAAAGCAAAGCTGTTCAAATGGGAAACGGACCGGGGCGCAGAAGAGCGTTTCAGGGGGGCTTCAAGGGAAGGAGGGGAGAGGTTGGCACCACAGGAGGGACAGGGAAGCGTTCTGTTAAACACACGAGGATGGGGACGCCATGCGCAGGGACCCTGCTAGTGTGTCAGGAATAAATAAAAATAGCCGGGGGGCAGGACACGCGCAGGGACTAGGCACTGACTCGTGGTCTCGAGAAGGTAACGTGGTGCTGTGCCCCCCTCCTCATCCTGCCAGAACAGGGCATTCGGTGCGATCGGGAGGCTTCAGGGAACAGCCCCCACCGGCAGGTCGCTCCATGCCTTTCCTCTGGCCACGGACGGCTGGTCCGGCCCGACACGGCAACTGGCTTCTGGTGCGGCAGGGAGCCTCGACGCCGCAGAGCGACGATGGCAGGACGTGGGCACGGAGGTGGAAGGAGGGAAGGTGTCGAGCCAGGGCCGGGCGGACTGGCGGCAGTGGGAAATGTCAGGCAGGCACGGGCGCCTCTTCCAGGCCCCTTCCTTCTCCATGGACCCACGCTGCGGAGGGGCTGGGGCTGCCCGTCCGTGTCGTGCCCCGCTGCGCGCTCTCCCCACAGCCGCCTCCGAGCTCTGATCTCAGCCACTATTGCTCCTCCTCCTCCGGGCCCAGCTCCATCTTCCTCCCACACGCTTTCGGTGTCGCCAGTCTTCTCGCTCTGCTCTGACTCGGTGTCTGTCTGCTCCTCGACCCCAGATGCACGTGAACCGCTGTGGGGCCGTGTCCGACCGCAGCGGGCACGTGGAGGGGCAAGGCCCTGGCTGGCCAGGCCACCCCCTCGTAGCAAAGCACTGAAGCCCATGCGTACTTTGTGGTGCATGCTTCCTTCCCGGCTTACCTCGGGGGAGATGCACGGGGGTGACCCCCGTGCCCGCAAAGAAGCACGCGGGGGCTGCAGGGAGGCCAGCGGGATGTGCCCAACTCCCACCGAAGCTGATGGGAGTTTTGCTGCTGATTTGAATGGGAATAGGGCTGGGTCCTTTGCTGCCACTTTTCAGAGCTGTGTGGGTGTGTTTCGGGGCAACTTGCACAGTTTCCTGCTTGCCGATTGCCACAACATTTGCAGGAGCTTTTCCCCAGCTGGTTTGGAAGGATTGGATTGGTTTCTAGTTTTTGGGAGGTGGGGAAAACCCCACAAACCAAACAACTCCAGCCACAGCAGGGAGCGTACTTCTCCATCCCACTGCCCCGTGACAGCTGAGGGGCCTTATCTCACACTTTCCAGCATGCAAATTGCCTCTTGGCTGACTTGGAGCGTGGAAAGCTTCAGCCCGGGAAGGAGAGCTCTGCCCCAAGTCACCAGCACGTGAACTGGAGCTGGTGCGCAGCAGCTCTCCCCGGCGTGCAGGCGCACAGCTCTAGAGCAGGGATCCTTGACCAGGGTGCCTTGAGATCTTCCCAGAGGTGCCACGGGGT